GTGGGTGATCAAAGTTGGAAGTTATTTGCTCTGTGTAACGTTTCACTTCCATAATAAATCTGTCAGAAGCTAGTTATTCATGGGCATGGTTTTAAAGACTAATTCACTGTGTTTCTGGAAGATTGTGGTTAATCTCTCTTAGAGCACAAGTGAAAAAAAAGGTTGTTTTGGTATTGACCTCGTCTCTATTGGCTTAACTGCACCGTTCAGGTAGGCTTTAACACCTTTTCTGTCAAGCAACTCTTTAACACCTTTCTTGTTGAAAGGTGTTAGTGTGATTTCCCTCTCCAGTGTACACAAGACTAGTGGGGAATTCATCATGCAATAAATTTTGGTGCATAAAATTACATAAGCAGAAGCTTGCATTCAAAAGATTGTAGGGATAAAGTACTAGATAGTATTTCTCTACTTTAACAGCAGCTGTGCATTAAAATGAAATTGAAGCTTACAGCGATAAGAGAAATGGTAAATTTCCGAGTTAGTATGCCAGTGTGAGCTGTTCTGAATTGAGCAGTTTTATGCTTTTGAAGTTAAATATATTTAGGTTTTCTTTCCCCATGTATTTTTCCTAGGTTTAAAATAATTTTGGTTGGGCCATATGTTTTATTTCATGAAAAGAAATTTGTAAATATCTTATTGAATTTCTAGTAGTGACCACCAGATGGGGCCACTGCATTAAATAAAATTATGCTTTTGCTTGAGTAAAAGGGAGTCTGAGTTAAAATATAAATAACATGTAGGGTGAGATAGATTGATGAATGACATGGGAGTTTATTGGAGCCTGGATCCAAGTTTGAGGTGTTTGTGTGCTTCTATTTGCAATCAAATGCTGATGTTGACCAAGAGACTTCTGTCCTTTAAAACAGCAGTTTCCTGGTAAAGTTGTTTACCGCTGCCCTTTCCAAGCAGCGTAAATTACAGTAAGTGTTCCAACCATGGAAGGAACTAGCCTCAACAGAACTGAATTATCTCTTGATTTAGCAAGCTTAAAAATTTCAAGATGAGGCTAAGTTAAATTTTAAAATCTTTGCATGATGCTTTGGGTTACGCTGTTGAATCTGTTGCTTTTTCTTTTTTAGGTAAAGACAGGCAAACGTGCGATGTCACAGCTCAAATGGTTCTTGTATGTTGCTGGAGAAGCATGAAGGAAGTATCTCTGCTCTTAGGGACACTGTGCAAACTTTTGCCTTCACAGGCTGCATCTGAACCTTCAGATGGGTTGATCACTGTAGAACAGGTAGGGGAATACTTTTTACTCTACAATCTTAGTTTTTATGGAAAAATAAAAATATTTTAATTACATTTTGAATCATAGCTGCTGGATTTGACTTAAAGCTCTTTATTAACTGAAATTCATAGTCACAGATACTGAAAGAAAAGCATGCTGACAAGTCTAAATCTTGTCCTTCGTAACATGGGAAATTGAGTTATGGAGAAATTATATACGGTATGACTCTTTCCTCCAGATTTTTTACTTAAAAGAGATAAAAAATATTAACATGCCAGCTGGGTCTCTTGTAGAATGTTGAGTGAAGTGTTTACAAGAAATTAAATTACCACAGGAATTTATTTGAGAAATATTTTATATTTATTACTTTTTTTTAATTGATGACATCTTCATTTCCATATGGTTTTGGCAAAATCCTTTTCTACATGGAACATGGAAACATGCAAGACATGCTTTCTTCCTCCACCAGAAAACAAATATTTTTCTGTAGGCGTTACAGCATTCTGTCGTAACACTAATAATATAAAATGTACTGCAGGTCTTATTACTTATGTTAGCTCTTGTTGCAGTGCCACAAAAATAGTATTTTTATTCTTGCATTGTCTCTAGCTTATGTTTTCATCTGCTTAGCAGCTGGGCTTTTACTGTTGCAGAGCTCTCAAGTGTAGATGAGAACAGCAATGTGCTTCACCATTATGTTCCCTAGCCTGCTCCAAGTCAAACAGGAATTGGTATTTTAGCGTGAGTCAGCTCTAGCTGTAGCATCTCCATCTTTATTTAGAGAGCAACCATTAGTATTTAGCCTTTCAGAAATGTTGCGTTGTTAAGCAGTGTCTCCTATTTGTATAGATCTCTTAATAGTTTTTTTCTGCTTTTGACACCATCTTGTAAAACAGCAAGTCTGCATTCTGTTTGTATGAAGAATGTTATTTGTCAAGAAGTTGGTTTCAAACCCTAATTTTCTTCATGTTAATGAGGAAATAATATTTGGCTGTATATATAATAAGCACTATTTGTGTAAGTGACCTTATTGTATTGTACAAAAATAGGTGATTTCATCATAAAAGTGTCGGGGTTTGCATGGAACTGCTGTGGCTTCAGACTTCTATTAAACACATATTTTTAAGTGTTCAGAAATAGGAGAACTGAAATTCAGTACCTTATGTATGTACAGCTGGCCTTTAATTTGCACGTCTTTTTCTTTATTGTGTCAATACACCATAATAAATATATAAAAATAATATAGATACAAAAATAATGGGAGGAGAAGGAGAGATGCTCAGTGGAAACCTTGGTCATGCTGCCTTCAATAAGGGCTAAGTAATTGTTAAGAAAAATCGGATAGCACCACTTGGCCATTCAGTGTTGTCTTGTTGCAGTGACTCCCTTCTAGTCTGTTGTATTTTTTTTTCTCCTTTGTATCGAGCATGCAGATGAGAAGAAAATACCTTTCACTGTTGATCCATGTTAAGGAACAACAGAGCTGTACTATTGGGTAGGCAGTGGTGTTAGGTAACTGCTGGCAGCACTAGTTCTTGATTCTTTCCAACAGTTAAATGCTGCCTTCCCAATGTGTACTTACATGGAAGTAGCTGGGGGAGAGACGGCTCTTTTTTGAGCCTTTATTTTTAACTAGAAGTCGGGGCAATATCAAATTTGCACTTTTGCTCTCTACTGAGTAACAGATTGGGTTTGCACAGCAATTTAATGCCACAAGGCTTAACGATGTCTCGGGACAGCTACAGCTCCTTGTGTGGAGATAACGTCTACGGAGGAGGCTCAGATTACAGTGTTGAAACTGGCAGGCTTCAAAGCCTACCCAGCATTGCCATTGGCTGATTTCCCTGAAAAATAGTCATAGGAAATGTCAAATATGTCTGCAGGAATCTTTCCATTCAAATACAAGGTCTATCTTTTATTCTGCATCTGATATGAGAAGTCCAGGGATGCCAGGCTCAAAGCTCTGCCTGGTAGCACAATTGATCTGAACAGTATCAGCCATAGAAAACACCTATCCTTGTGACAGCCAAGTAGGCCAAAAAAAATGATGCCTACCAAGGTGTGTTGATGTTCTGACATGATCTCTCCAATCATGAGACAATCCTTGAAGCCTGGGGAAACTTCTTGAGCTTTAAACCCAGAGTCTTACCTCAAATTGTTGCTTATATTACCCGAAGAGATGATTTTTGGGGGTGTGAGCTTGCCATAACTTTGTATCAAAGTGAAAAGAAGGCAGTAGAAGTACAGGCAGAAGTACTGTCCCAAAGTTCTGCTTGTGTAAACCAAGTGATATGAGCCTTGTCCTGGAAACTTGTCAAGTAAAGGGAAGTCTGAGTATTGGAAAGTCCTAACACTTAATAGTCATTTGCTCCACCAGTAAAAAATGTGACTCCCATTGCACCTCAAGTTTTTCCTCCAAGGAACCAGAAAAAGAGAAAGAAAAAAAAAACAAAACAAAAACAAAACAACCTTACACCTGATCTTAATGTAATCTCGCTCTCCTCTGGAGTTCACTACGGTTGGTACTGGTTCACGGTAATACAGATTCCTTTGCTTGCTCTACCTGCTGGCTCTTGAGGTACTGGTTTTATGCTGTGGAGGGTCTGAGTGCTACTCCAGCTCCTTATTCCTTCCTGGAGGAGCAGGAGTGCCATGGTCAGGGTCCCTATCAAGGTGGGGCTCTCTGTACTCATGTATTTGCATGAGGATCAATGCTATGACATCTGGGAGAGCTTAACCTGTGGTGATTTTTTTTTTAAATTGGTAGGAATGAAATCAGAGTATATCAGGGTTTAATTTGACATAACTTAGTCAATGTGGCTGTTGCAAAAAGCTCAAACTTAGTTGAAAGTTCCATGTCCAAAAATATCTGTATGAACTATTCTAAAAATGTAAGGATGTTGGTGGGACGGGACAGTGATTTGATTTGCGTGTATATGGTTTTCTTGGTTTGGTTTTGTTTATATGCTTGGGGAGTTTGTCTATGGGTCAGCTACTTCTGAGAAAAGGCCCTCATTCCTGCCTTTGAGCTAGACAGCTAAGAGCCTGCAACTATGAACTGGCTTAAAATCCACCCAGAGGAAGTTATTTTAGCTCAAAATGTTCTTTGTTTCATATTACGTGGGTTTCATAAGCTGCAGGAAATGTTATGCTTAGTCTTCCATCTTACTCTAACTCTTCTGCCTTCATCTTTTGGATAATATGATTTACATACAGTAGGGTGGAAAATCATTTGTAGATAGGTATGGAATTAACTCTTCTGACATTTTAATTACCTTTCAGACTACTGTGGTATTTTAAAGCAGAATTTTTCAAACTTATTATTTTTTAATTTTGCTATTAATTTTATATAAAGAATTGTTTTGCTGAAGCACTTTTAGGAAATATTAGTGAAAAGAAATGTGTAATAGGATTTTGTATGTGCATTATGTATTTTAACCAAATGATGCTGTCAGTTTAGGCCTTTAAAGTTGATGTCAGTTAGAGAACATAAAAGCAACTCTTCTTGCAGAATGAGATTGTGTAGTATTTTAAAGCTGTATTGAAGCTTACATGCTTGATATCTTGTTAGAGTTGCAGAATCAGTATCAGTAAAATTTTAGTTATAGCAGTTTAGTTGCTGTCAAATTGTCAGTGTAGCTCTCATTACTAGGTCTGTGCAGTGTCTTTATTCTAGAGCTGTTTCTAGCAGTCAAGAGGCAATTATGCAGAATCCTGAGACCTTAAAAATTGTTCACTTTTGTTTTTCTTTTTTTTTCCTCTTAGTTACATTAGAACTCCTGTTATTTCTCTGATATTTTTCTAGATACTTGTTTCTGATTTTATGATTTAGTAGCTAGCTTTCTTTGGGATTTAAGGTAAGAGTGAAGGGAACCAAGAAAGATCATTTTTCCTCTGAAAGTCAGTGTTGTCCCCTTCTTTTCTTAACATTGCAAAGTACTCCTCTAAGACCTATAGCTAATTTTGTGTTATTTTATGATGTTTTTGCCCTTTGTTTTCTTCTTAAGAAAAAAGTTGTAAAACTACACTGCTAAAATAAAAAATGGAGTATAATATCTGTGTTCCTTAAAATAAGTGCCCTTTTACAATAGTGCTTCTAATTGCCTCTTGCTTTCAACATGGCTTTTTCAACCAGAAGGACTTTGCCTTTAATGGGTGTTGTGGTAGCAGAAAGTGCATGTAGACTGCTTGTATTTAGAAACAGCCCACTCCAAAGTATTTTGCATTTGTAAATGAATTGCTCATGTAGTTTCAAATAACTTTCTCCCCCTCTCCCTCACCTTTTTTTTAAGGTTAAAAATATTGGAGACTACTTTAAACATCATCTGTTGCAATCAAGACACAGGGGCGCATTTGAGTTAGCGTATGCTGGCTTTGTGCAACTTACAGAAATCCTGTCCAGGTAAAAGACCACCTCTTATGTTTTTAATATAGTCGTTTTACTGAACTGTGGTAATTGCGGTTCATTTCTGAAATGGGCTGTGCAAGCAAATTCTTGATTTCATGTGGATTTTGTGAGAGTTTAGTGCACTGGTATGTGAGCATGTGTACGCCATTAGTTACATGAAGCTGTAACTTTGGATTGTGTTATTTCTTTTGAGAGATGGTGCTTAGGCATTGAAAGAAGATAAGGCCACTTAATGCTTTTAATTTTCTTGATTTCTGGAGTGTCAGTTTATTGAACCACTCTCAGGAGCTCATGGGAATAGAAGTGTAGACTCTTCCCCCCCCACCTCTCCCCTTCTTTTTATGAAAATGAATGCCAGACTTTTTGTTTTCAGCCAGGATGTTTTCCTGGAAATTTTCGTTACTTGCCCTTGGATGAATTGCATGTTCTGACATTTGGAAAACTACCTGGCAGTGTATCACAAGATGTGATATGCGGTCTTTTATTAATTTTTTGTTTTCTCCTGTAACTTCATACTTGTCTAGAAGAATTAATGAGCAGAACTGTCCTGAGGTCTAGGCTAGAGAGCTGGGATTCCCATTAAGTGGTTAGTTACCTATTTCTGAGACTGGACACAAGAGTTGTTAATGCTTCCTTGTTGTCTAGGATGTATTGTGGTCATATCATATTCAGTTTTCAGTAAGACAAGTGAGTCTCCATTGGCTTTATTTGGTATTGCAGTGATCAGTTTGAGGCACTATGTATTTTTTGTGAGATTTCTAAAGTAAAAATAAGTCTGGTAATGGAAACAGATTTTATTTCTATTGCTATTTTGATACAGAACAGCTTCATGACCAGCTCAAACAATGTGTTCCCTCAATTAGTTTTCCAGTCAGGACTGAGGGCTCAGTTGCAGGGATGTGAATGTTAATGGGGCAGCTGCTTAGGTTCACCCTATGGCAAAAGAAGGATTTGCCAGGTTATGGCAGGCAGAATGTGCTGCATGCGAGGTCAGCACGGAGTGCCACTGTGATCTTCCTGCAGACTCCGTCTTTTCCAGTTTTACTACTCTGAGTACTGAGAGAGCAGAACCTGCTTAAAGAAAGAAGAGGGGAAGGAAAAAAGAAAAAAAAACAAAAAACAAAAAACAAACCCAAAACAGAAGCAAAGTGACTGGGAATGTATCATGGGCAATGGGTGAGGTGTTCCCAGGTATGTGGGCAGCTTTCTAGAAGAGTGATCCCATTGCAGCACCCATTAGTAAATCTCATGTAAAAGGGATACCACTCAAATGTTTAGACCTCTTCAGATTTTTCCAAGCTGAGTCCAAGGCACTGGTCTGCTGTCTGCTGGATATTCTTGGCTGCAGTTTATATATACGTTAGCAGACTAGGCAGTATTTTACCCAGTTTCTGGAATCAGATGTGGCACTTCCAGTAATGTTAAAACAAGCAAACACCCCCACAAAACCAAGAAAAACTTCCTCCTTTCAATTGCTTCTTTTGCAGACCCCTGACATAATTTAAGACTTTCTGTATTCTTACCTATGTAGAATTTTACATGTGAAACTTGCTTTTTTTTTTTTTTTTCTTCCCCTCAAAGACACTGAGGCTCCAAGGTCTTTCTTGGAGCTATGCAGCAGCAAATTGAAACTTGTTGGCCCAATAACTAGTATTTTATTTTCAGGTGATAATTCTTTGAAATTTTTTTTTGGAAAAAAAAAAAAAAAAAAAAGTATTCCAAATGGAGTAAGCTGTTAAAAGGTACGGAATGTGTAGAAAGAATTGCTGAAAATGACAGGATGTTGTCCTAGGCACACTGGCTGTGAATATAAAGGTGTACTGATTTTTTTTTTTT